TCCTTGTATAGCCAGTTTACTTGTATAGATTTGTTTCCTTGTATAGCTTGGTAATATTCTATAAATCAAAAGGAATACACACGATTAATTTATTCCGCAAAATTGGCAATAATAATATGTTGGCGTCTTTTCATTTGTTAAGAAAATGTGATATGCAAACATTTCAAAAATGTAATGGCAATAGCAAGTTTGGGACAGCAAATCTAGGCTCCGAGAGTATACCTTAGTCCTTAGACCATGAAAAGGATTGCGGGCAGATCACATATTTCTAACGCTGCCTTCCAAAACAAATACATCACTGCAAACTATTCATGAATCCCAGTCACAATTCTACTCCATATTAACATCTACAAAATACAAATATTATAAATCCATTCGTCTCTTCAGAGAAGAAAGAGGAAATTTAAAATCAAAATTACCCCAAAAAAATGCGGAAAAATGTAGATTGGACACCTGTGAGTTCATATAAGAATAATAATCAAGGAAAAAATTAAGCTCAATGCATCAAAATTGTAATTCAAGCAAGACTATAGACTCAACAGATCAGTCAGTCTAGGAGAGTGCAGGATGTACTCTTTACCCTGAAATTATCTTAAGCGCCCGCCAAAGATTTCTTCTGTGCTCTACAACTTCAAACAAAGCACAGATTAGCCAATCTTTTTACCACCTGCATTTCAAGCAACACCTCCCTGTTTGTCTCTTTATAGAAGTCAACCAGACATATGGTATGATAAGAAGCCTGATTACATTATCCTGCACGCACAAGTCTTTTGATTCCGATGGTCAAATTCTTCGTCTGATTCAACTTCACTGTAATCACATGGAATGCATAGTTAACATACTGGAAAATAACATTTGGAGAAAGAAACTAGATTCTATAAATGTAGAATGTAGAGTTTGGTGATTTCTCCTGTTTACAATGAAAAATATAAATCAACTTTCATCCAATAATTATGACCATGTGCTGATAACTTGGTATTGTAAAAAATGAGCTTCGAATCTTTTCCCCCGTATGCACATAAATAAATAAATTAAAAAAAGAAAGAAAAGAAAGTTACGTTGTCAATAGTTCTTGACATTACAGTAATAGTTTGGGCGATTTCTTCAATTCTCCCGACTTAAAAACTTCACATGCACTAGTTTTGCTTTAGTTCATAATGAAGCTTTTTTGCACACCACAACATTTATCTAACAAGTTTTGAAGATACTATAGAGCAACTGAGCAACAAAAAACAACGTCAAGAAGCCAAATTACAATTAGTGCAAGTTAGTTAGGAAGATACGATATGCAGCCTCCCATAAAGTACTACAGGCATATAACAAGGAACTGAATCCGTAGAGAGATTAAGATAAGCAGTCATCATCTGCAATCTTGAAATCTATTTAAAGAAGCTAAAAGACCTCAAGAAAGGCTAAAATTCGGCATTGGACATATAATCAGGTGTTAATACTCAACTTGGACAACGTGATTTTGCCTATTCCATATAAACTGCTAAAAGCTTTCTCTAGCTCGCATGCTCATGACTACATTCCTTGGCATGGTGAAACAAATCTTGAATTCCTTTCCACTTTCTTATAATACAACAATATTTGAAATATTAAGCGTGTTTTTACCACGAATCTAAGTTTTAAATACATGAATGCTAAAGAGTCTGCGATGTTGTATTTAAGTCCAATGCTTGTGCCAAATTTCCTAAAGTGTGATATTCCTCTTTTGTTCTTTTTCAAGAAAACATACAAAAATATAAATCAACAGAAGATGTAGAAGGATCAGACTCACTCTACAATACTCGAACATCAAACTAACTCATTCTATCAGTCAACAATACTCCTAGTTATTAAAATCTTTTATTGTTTTTATGTGCCTAATCAAATAACTTAACCTGTACGGTGAAACATGGTGCTGTATAACAAATCCATAATAAAAATGGAAAAACTAGATTCAAATACCACAGGTTACAAAATATTAGCTGCAATGTGGTGTCAAATTGTCATGGTCCTCACCATTACATAAGTATACGTATGGACTCATATTAGTAGATATTCAGGCTCTTGATTATATGAATAAGTTATCTTGTTGTAACATATATTTAGCATGGACAAAAGCATGAACAAATAAAGCCACAAGGAAAAAGAAATTGATGGTAGCAAGGAAGAAAAACTCCAAGTCCTAGATCATACCTTGTTAATAAGCACAAAAGCACCAGAATGAAAAGATGAGAAGAGAGTTCGAACAGCACATAAGAAACTTAAAGAATGAAACCAATAAACATATAGTTTATTGTAAAATTTAATCATCTTAAGCTTTCATACCTCATCTCAAATTCCCGGGTCTCAAAGAGCTCTCCTCCAGATGTATCTGTCCACTGCACTTTCCTCCTCTCCATTTGACTCGTAACATCATTATTCTTCTCATATAAAGTTTCTTGTCCATTGCCAAAGCTGCTGCCACTTGCAGCAGAAACTGGAAAACTACTTGTAGGTTTCTTCATACTGCTCTTCAAACTAATACTGCCTCTGTTACTAGTATCAAGATGATCAGCCAAATGTGCTTGATCTTTACCATTGTCATCGACAGGACATCCCTGTGAGACTTCTTCATGCTGAGTAGGTCCAACTTTCAGATGAGATGGGCTCTCGACTCCACCGGTAGCACGACCAAAGCATACAAAGGAAGCGCACCCGTGGACAGGCCAGTTCTTCCCAGTAGCCAGCTGGAAATCAGGATCAATCTCTGGTTCCACCAACTGGTACCGATTCCACGGCGTTACTCTCATGGGTTTCTCTTCTTTCCTCTGACCCAATAAAAGAAGGGTCAATCCCTTACTGTATCCAGAAGCTGAAGAAGAAAAGAACCCTCCTCCTTCCACTGCCAATAACATCAGTTCTTCTCATCTGGGCACAAAACAATAACTTACTTTTAAGCTATTTCACCTCCAAATAGCTAAATTGGACTGACAGGTGCAACAAATAACAGAACTTATATATAAGATGGAATTTTGGGTAAAAATGTTACACCATTTTCCACAATTCTGAGAGACACTATACCATAAAAATCGATCATTATGATTCAAGGTTTACTAAATTATGCTTGACCTCGGATGAAATAATAGAAACGGAAATATAAATAAACACGTGATGTTATCTATAAATATCAGAAATCCTCTAAATTAGTTTTTTTTTTTTTTTTTCATACAAATTATTAACAATGTTATTCCATTTATCAGCCTTGCAAAAACTCAAATATAATTTTCATTTTATAACAAACCAATTCAAAGTTAAGTTAACGTGCATCAACATTTGAGATCCATAGAATAAACATTCGAAAAAGTTTGAATCTTTATCTTGTCAATTAATATTTGCCAATAAAAATGGATTTCAAAAACACTTTCGGCCCCAAACACTAGAAGCAACAAATTCTTCAAGAATAAGCCAATGCTTTAACTCAAATTCACACTCATCAAAGATCTTGTGTATGAAATTTAAACTCATACAATACACAAGCACTGGAACACTGTAAATGTTGTTATATTAGATATACAACATTTAACTACAGAAAGAGACGAACAGATCTGAAAGCGAGCACCGAGAACAATTCACCGATCCGGCATCTGCCCACAAAATTTTCTTAGCGTAAATCTCTAAATAGTAGAGTGCGTTAATTTGCTTACAGTGCAAAAAAGGTACAAAAAAGTTAACGAGAAGATGAATTTCTGGTTGTGAGAGTGATAGAGGATAGTGCCACTGTGGCGCATGATAGCGATGGGTCCTCTTTATTAGCGTATTTTTATCCAGTGAGCAATTTTATAATTATATTATAAAATATATTTTACTTTTTTATTTTTCTAATCTCCTATTTATTATACGATTAATGATGAGCTTTTGAAAAAATGAGTCGAAAGTAAAGGTGGGATTTAAAAGAGAAAGGTTGCTTTTGTTTCTTATCCCGTCCAAACAGGCGTAAGCCCGGTTTGGTAACCATTTTAAAGAAAAAGTGTTTAGAATAGTATTTCAGGAGAACGTATAATATTTTGAACTTACATGCAAAATATTTTCTTGTATGAATGTGATTGAAAACGATCATATAGAAAAAAGAGTCCGAAAAGAAGAAAAATCAAACAGGAGCTAAAGTTGGGTTCAACTATGTAGATTTAAAGGCAGACTGCTCAAAGCTTGTCTAAGATGGTTAGCGAGCTAGGTAGTTTTTCAGCACGTTCTTTGACAGCATGATTATATTGTAGAAAATTAACAAAGAATTTAGAATTAATGTTTGCATCTAGAGGACCACTTGGAAGGACAAGGTCCATGTCCAAAATGAGTTGTGCTAGACCGTTTGTGATGAATATTATCAAAACTTTTTCAAATCAATTCAACTCGTTTTACACTGTCATTTAGCACGTACGTTCATAACATTTTATATAAGTATAAACGAATTTAATTACATATATTTGTATAGTTACACTGGTTCTACTTAAGAGTAGCAAGCTGAAAAATTATCTTCAACCATGAAGAGGCATAGAAATCTTATGAAATTCTTGAATATCATATAGAATAGCTTATTTTTTTGTCTACATCGAACCTCACGGTAGATGTAATAACCCTATATTTTCAACTAATAAGAATAATTATGATAGGTATGAATTGAACCATAGAGCCAGATGAAAAATAACAATTTTAAAATCATTGTTCTATTCAAATGCCTCTTAAAGAATAATGTTATGTAGTCTCCTTAGAATTGTAACGTCAGTATAGGTGGCACTAGATGATTAATTACATTAAATGTGAAACTAAATGAGTCATTTAATTTAAAAGTTGATATCACTGTATGTACGTTAAGGGTTACATAGTACCACATAACATTCTATCATTTTTAGTTTAAGATAGTCAGTTTTTTCAACCAGTATTTTTCCTCCACATCA